ACACCTTTCCAAGGTGACACCTTCAGGAGAACCGTAACTAACCCGGAACTCTAGGTGTGACCGACTCTTGTCATCATAGCTCTTCTGACAACTCTGAGCTGTCTGAAGTCTACTTCGAACCTGCCGAATCAACTCGATAGTCTTGAGTACCACTTCGGTAATCCCCATAAGTCGTTTACCAACCTCACCCTAACATATCAGGGTCCCACATTTCCTACCATAGTGCATCTCAAAACGAGGTCGATCAATGCTAGCGTGATAACTGTTGTTATACGAAAATTCCTCTAACGGAAGATATGTATGCCAACTCTTACCAAACAGAAAACACACGCCCGAAGCATATCCTCCAAGGTCTGGATAGTCTGCTCATTCTGATCGTCAGTATGCAGGTGGAAGGTCGTGCTGAAATGCAGACGAGTACCCAACTCATCATGGAACATTTTGCAAAATCTGGAAGTAAACCGGACGTCCCTGTCTGAATCCACAAAAATCAGGACCCTACGTCATGCCACAACCTCCCTGATGTATATATCAGCGAACTTATATGCAAAGAGGGATAGTCAATAACCCTCGGCTATCATAATCAAAGGAAGGCACTTGACCCACTATGCACTCACTCATCCGGTGCTCTTCCTTCACAGCCTCAACTCGTGCCTCTCGAATCTGCTCCAAAAATGGAGTAATCACATTCATCCTCGAAAAAATATCCCTGATCGGAGCCGTGATCACCTTGCAGCTAAAAGCATCGACCACTACATTGGCCTTCCCCGGATGGTAAAGGATCTCATAATCTTAATCCTTTACCACATCCAACCATCGATGCTACTTCATGTTCAGATTCGGCTAATCCATCAGATACCTCAAGCTCTTGTGATTCGTTTAAATAGTACAGTGGACCCCGTAGAGGTATTGTTGCTAAATCTTGAGTGCAAAAAGCATAACCCCTAGCTCTAAATCATGCGTCATATAATTTGCCTCATGAGGCTCCAACAGCCTCGAACATAAGCAATCACACGACCCCTCTACATCAGAACTACACCCAAACTTGTGATCAACACATCACAAATAAACCACAAAATCCTCAAAACCCTCCGGCAGGGCCAAAATCGGCTCCTCACACAATCTCTGTCTCATGGTCTCAAAAGTTGCTATTTGCTTAGGCCCGCAATGAAAAGTGGCAGTCTTCTTCGTCAACCGAGTCAGAGAACCGGTATCTTGGAGAAATCCCGAATGAACCTCCAATAGTAACCAGCCAACCCAAGGAAACTCTAAATCTCAAATAGAGACCTCATAATCTACCAGCTCATCACGGACTCGACCTTGGCTGGATCGAGCAGAATATTGTTCTAGTTGACAAGGTGCCACAGAGCTACACCTTGTACAACCATAACTCACACTTGTAGAACTTTGCATACAGTCTCTCCTTCCACAGAGTCCCTAATACCTCTCGCAAGTGCTCTTCATGCAGCTCCTGGGTCTTGGAATAGATTAGGATGTTATCAATGAAAACAATCACAGACCGATCCAACATCAGCCTACAAATGCAGTTCATAAGGTCCATGAATGCGGTTGGAGCATTAGTGAGCCCGTAAGGCATTACCCCGGACTTGTAATGACCATAACGAGTCTGAAAAGCGTTCTTCTTCAGATCCTCCTATCTGAACCTCTGTTGAGATATATTTAGTGGTTTATGCTTTGCTTTAAATGTATTATGTCTTTTCGGTTTTGGACCGAAATCACTTAGTGTTTTCGGTTTTGACCGAAATCACTTAGTGTTTTCAGTGGGCTTAGTGTGTTTTCGGTAGGCTTATGGGCTTTAGGTTATCGGTTTAGTGTATATATAGTCTGTGTATATTTGTTCTTATCATAGTGGTTTTTGTTGAACTCTAGGGTTTCAGGATGAATTGTGATTGAATGTACTTGATAGTTTTTTAATAGAACTGTGTGCATTCATTGAAACGTGTTCTTGATATATCTTATTGATTGTTTCGTACCATTGTTTGATTAAGATTCCATATTAAATCAAAAATTTTCATTGATACTTTGATAGATCCGAGTTTAAGGACTTAAAAGTGGTATCAGAACCTTAAAGCGGTCTTAAGGCTGTTTTGGTATCAATTGCTTTCGAAACAAGAATTTGTTTGTGGTGTTTTTGGGTTGTTTTGGAAAAAAGGTTTTGTTGTTCATCGTGTTCCTAGTGTTCTTCACTAACTTTGGAGGATATTGAGTTAGAGATCATTTTTGGTAAATTACCAAATTCGGGATTCATTGGATCAGGAAACACGATCAAGACCTCAATTTCGGCTAGGTCTCAGCATTTCCGGCTGTTGAATAAAATTTTCGGTAAAAAGACTAGGGGGTTTTCGGCTTGGAAAAATTCTTGGCCAAGATATACCGGTTTTGGTTAAACAATTCACTTTCGGGGATATCGGTCAAACTGGTTGACTTTCAAAGTTTTTGGTCAAAGGGAATTTATTTTTGGTTTTCGGTCAAGATCAAATTGCACAATCAGTTTTTTGGTTAATAATGAGCTCTTACAACAGTTCAGTCACAACTCCAGGTACCAAAGAAATAAGTAAAACCTCATGTTCTCAATCCTATGAAGATAAAATAAATAAATACCATGAACAAAATGAATTATTAGTTAAAGAGTTTTTTGACCATAAAAATGAAATTTATGAAATTAAGAAAGTCAATAAACCTCTTATAAAACTAGAAGCACAAACTAAATATTTGAGAAGGATTAAAGAAGAATATAGCACCAAATGTATTCACTATCATTTTGCCAAAGAGAAAATTGCAAAATTAACTATCGAACTTGATGTATTAAAAGCCAAATTTAAAGATGTTGATTTTAATTTTAAGAAATTTGATGTGTCAAGTGAGATAGTTGAGTAAATGATAGAAAAACAATTAATGTGGAAAGAATAACAGAGTGAGGGTCCGGGGTGTCATAGTGTACCACCTCCTTTCAATGATAACTATAGTCCGACTTCTGAAACCATAGAGATAGAAAAATCTGTTCAACATGGTCAGCCTACTGTAACTGCTTTAGTTAAGAGTGAACAATCCGACAAAACTGAGAATATTGAGATGAACGATACTAATGTTTCTACCTCATGTGTAGAGAAAGTAACAGTGCAAGATGAGTGTGAGAAAAACAAAGATAATTCTATTTTTAATGAAACTCTTCAAAAACTAACATTTTATCTTTTGTTGCTTCAAAAGCTTGTGATAACACTGATAACAATCTTAGGGCACATAAAGTTGTGAAACATTGTGCTTGTACTTGTGGAAATTCAGTTGGACGGGTACCAAGTTCTCAACATATTCCTCTTAAAAGACAAACCTGTTTTGATTGTGGAGTTCTTGGTCACATTGCCACAAATTGTCTAAATCATGCATATATTCCTTATTATGCCCAAGGTAGGCAGAACGTATCACGAGGAAGATCCTTCAAGAGAAACTCATCGAGATCACATGATGGTGACTGGAATACTACCAAGACCAAAAATCAGACTCTCAAGAACAAAAAGGTCATGTCTAAATAGAGATCTGATTTGAGAAATAGTTCAGTCAAACCAAGATTAGTAAGGTCGAAGTCATCTCAGCGATCAGTCTCAAGCTCCAAAATAAGTGCTGAAGCATCCGTCCGTTTAAACAAGAAAATGGTTAAACCTGACTATAGATAGGTATCCAAAGTTTCTGCTCCCAAATCACCTAAAGATTCTAACATCTCTTCATTTTTTGTGTTTGGTAAAATGGATATGACTTGGGAATGCATATCATGCGTAGATGGCAAAGGTTAACCTAGTTTCAAAATGGACTGGGTTCCCAAAACCAATTAATACCACACTCTGTTCTAGAATAGCTATGGAGGAATATCATCAGACTTAGTTAGGTTGACAGTGGTTGTTCAAGGCACATGATAGGAGACATCTCTCATCTGCATGACATTCATATTTTTAATGGAGAGCATGTGACCCTTGTGGGAAAGGAAAAGGAATGATCACAAATGGGGATTACATCAATTGCTAGATTACGGTTTGACTTTTCTGATTCTTCTATTCTTTGTGATAATAATGTTGATTTTCAATCATCTGTAAAACTATTTTTTTTTTCTAAAAACCAACCTCATGCTTGTAGGATTTCTTAAGATGATACACTTTAAAGACTGAAATTTCTTTTCATTTTTTTAGTATTTCTTATTCTCTTTCATTTTGTTTTACTTTTAGAAAAGGAAATTTGTGACGATTTTTGGGAAGTGATATGAGTTAGTGATAAGGGGAAAATGAAATACGTGTAATGCACTAAAGCTGAATTGTCTAAACTCTATGCTTAATGTGTTGGTAGGCATAGAGGACTAAGGCTAATGGACTAGACAATGTGAACTCATTTGGACATAGAAAACCTCATTTGGACTGACAATACGATGCTTGGATAGATTTAACCGTAAAATAGACAAGGAGGCCTATGACATAAATTGAAGTTAACTATCATCTAGATCTGTG